TCTCTCTCTCTCTCAAACATAAATAAAAAAACATTATTAAAAAACCCACAAAAAGCCAGTTCCTGAATGTCAGGAATTCGGGAGCATATTATAGCTGGATGCTATAATATGAGCAGGATGGCTTTTGCTCAGGATCTCTCAGGAAGTTGTCCAAATGTGGGCTAGGGTCCTAGCCATCTGAAGCCTAGACTGGTGCTGGAACATGGGATTGCTTGTTCAGGGCCAACCAGTCCTTTATTAGTACTTAAATAAAATTCTAGTTTTTGTTTCTGCAGTTTCTCAAAGTTTTAGTTTTCAATACAATAATATTTGCATAGGAGGCCCCGAGTCCCGCTCATATTCTTTTCTGAAAATTCCTGCTGGGAGTAGGTTATTAGTGGGGAATGTCTTCTCTTTGCATTTTCTCTCCCCTAGGTCCTTTCTAGGTTTTTTTGTTTGTTTGTTTTTGTTTTTTTTGTTTTTTTGTTAAAGATTACTTATGCATCCACCTCCTGTGGGTCAATGAATGATTGCTGATTCTTGCTACCATAAAAAGACAAACAGGTCCCTGCCTCAGTAGAACTTCCATGCAGAAGATAGGAATTAGTCATTCATTTGAAAATGATGAAATACATGCCAGTGTGCTTTAAAAAAAAAAAAAAAAGGTTCTGTTAAGATGCTACAGGAAGCTGCAATAAGATCTTAGCTAGTTTGTGTTTTTGCTTGATCAGCACTTTGTCCTTTTTGTTTTGTAGGAAGAATACCTACCCTTGGGTTTTTTATCAAAAATCTCCATCCTGGAGCAGAAACAGGGAAGCTAATACACACCCCACTCCGCATAAAACACTCTTACATCCTCCCTGATGGCAGACATTCAGGGGATTGTAGTTCTATAGAGTAATCTCATTTACTTAAAAAAATTTTTTTTTTAAACTCAGATTTCTTCTCCATTCACCTGTGAAATTCTTGTCTCTCTCACTGGCCTCTCTCCTCTCTTCCAGCTCTGCCAAAGTGTTGTGTCAGTTTCTTATGTACCCTGTTCCTCCCTTTCTTGCCCCGCCAAATCTTTGAAAAGATGAGATACCATAGGAAGTTGGGAATCTAATCCCTTCTTTTTTTGAGCTCTTTATATTTTGAGATTTATTTCTAATTAGAGAAAGAAAAACTGAATATCTGTGAATTTCAGGTATGGAAAATTGACTTCCTGTCCCTGAACCACGATGGGATCTTCCCTGGGAGGTTGTAAAATCAGGAAGCCATTGACAAGATCCCAGTTTATTGTCTGCATCTTTGCCCCCACCCCTGAGAATTTGTGACACTGTGAGAGAGGAAAATCCCGAATAGAGAGGGTCATATTACAATAAAACTTATAAACAACTTCAAATATGTAAAGGATACAATAAATGATGTTTTCATTTGTGACTGTTTTTATTTGACTACCCACGCAAGTATTTGTGAAGGATTTTTGGTGGTCACGTATCCTTTTTCCCCTTGGCCCTCTTTTTCTCCTGAAGTTCTTTTTTTTTTTTTCTAAGTTTGTTGTTTATGTCATGAGAAAGAGAGAGAACGAGAGCATGTGCAAGCAGGGGAGGGGCAGAGAGAGAGGGAGAGAGAGAATCCCAAGCAGGTTCTGCACTGCCAGCTCAGAGCCCAACACAGAGCTCAAACCCATGAATTGCACGAGATCATGACCTGAGCCAAAATCAAGAGTCAGACACTTAACCAACTGACCTACCCAGGTGCCCGTTCCCTACATTTTTCAACCGCAAATTTTCCTACTGTGAGCATTTTCAGAGCTGACATCGCATGGTTGGAGAGGGACTGATGGTCTTCTCATTACTGAGTAATTTTCCAGAGAGAGTCTTAAGGTATCATAGAAGGGGCTAAATCAAGAATATACCCTTTTTGCATGGCCCGTGTACTAGCCAGACAGGGAAAACACAGCGGTAAAGCAGTAGTGAAGGAAGCTGCCTTCCTCGCGTGGCGATGCCTAGCCATCGTGAAAGCAGTTCACAGTGGAGTCCCAGAGTATAGCGTATATATCTACTTTCGCCTTCAAATAAATGAATACATATTAGATCAATTTTAATAGCAAATCTTCTGTAACCTTGAACTTGTGAGTTCTCCCTATAAAATGTCATTAGTGTAATGTATTAAGCTGCAGGGCATTCCAAACTCACCAGCACTTCCAAACACATGAATGCACATACACTTCTAAGCTTAATCCTAGAGAGGAATGAGCTTGCTCATTATGGAATTTTTGTTGCTGCTAAACATAGATATCCCAAAGATTATCTTCATGGTATCTTTTTTTTGGGGGGGGGGTATTTTTGAAAGTGTTATGTGAAGTGAAGTGAAGTTAAAGTGAAAATGTTATTTTTGAAAGTGACTATGGTTGGGGTTCTTGGTGGCTCAGTAAGATAAGTGTCTGACTTCAGCCAGGTCATGATCTCACAGTCTGTGAGTTCGATCCCCGCATCGGTCTCTGTGCTGACAGCTCAGAGCCTGGAGCCTGCTTCAGATTCTGTGTCTCCCTCTCTCTCTGCCCCTCCCTCACTCGTGCTCTGTCTCTCTCTCAAAAATAAATAAAAATATTAAAAATTTTTTTAAAAAAGTGACTATGGTTATTTTTGTTTTAATGTTTATTTTTTGAGAGAGAACAAATGGGGGATGGGCAGAGAGGGGTGGGGGTGGGGACAGAGGATCTGGAATGGGCTCTGCTCCAGGAGCAGAGAACCCAACGTGGGGCTGAACCCACAAACCATGATATCATGACCTGAGCCAAAGTCGGACACCCAACTGACCGAGACACCCAGGTGCCCCAAAAGTAACTGTGGTTATCGTTTTTGGTTTTATGTTCCTCTTTGAGAATGCTTTTAGGAAAGGACTTAAGCATTCAAAGTGTGGGGTGGTGGAGAGAGACAGTGAGCAACCAAAAATCTGGGCAAATAAGTGGGGTCAAAGGCACTTATTAAAGTTCATTTTGTCTATTTCCATTTCATTGAGTCAATGGCACTTACTTTTATGTGGCATATTTTCCAAAATGGTTGCTGTAAACCTGTCAGACTTGAAGTGAACATTGATTGTGTTTGAGTAGAGATCCAATTACACCAGGATCATCTATTTTAACGTTGCTAGAATTTCTGTGTAAGCTAGAATCTTTGAGGGATAAATAGTATTTAGTATCTTCGCCAAGGTATCTTGCGTGTTTTAATAATTTGTTATTTGAATTATTTCTGAATGTTTTATAATTACAGTTTTGAGGCTCTTCCCTTCATCATAGCAAAAATGCCAATGTTTTACAATGTATACATTCTGGCAACTGTGTAATTTATTTTAAGTCAATATGATTCTTTGAGATTTTTGACCTAAAATTCCTTTGCAGAGGTTTTTCCATCCTACTAAAAACAAACAAAAGCCAAAAAAGTGACAGCAAACATAACTTTAATTGCAATAACTCTTAATTTTGGTGCATACCCAAACACAAAGTACTGCTTTTGATAGCTTCATTTTTCTTGTCCTAATTTGATTTTTTACCCCCCCCTGATATCAGGTGCAGAGAGAGCTTGCAGCTGTGATTGCTTTGAAAGCAAGGAAGTCTGGTGAGTAGTCCTTCCTGGGGCTGAGCTAATCTCAGGAAGTTTTGATGCAGAATGCAAAAAAGTATCACTGTTTGTTTTCAAAATTATATACTCTCCCATTGAAACAGCATAAGCTACTATATGTCATTCTTTAAAATTTTACTGCCTTGTTTTATTTCATATTTCAAGGAAAAATGAAATTAAAAATAAATGTTTGTAGTCCATTGCAACTTTGAAAAAAGTGTAAGTACACAACCCAAGAAAGCAAATCACATTGTATTTACCTACCATAATGACAGAGTAAACTAACATAAAGGTGGTCTCTGTTTAAGCATATGTTTTTCATCTCATAGTAGTTTCTTCTAAAAAGATTTGTGTAATGCCATTTAAAAGCAAGCATTTCATGTAAGACTAATTGAGTGGATCTGATCCCTAATACCTGTAGGATATGATGTGGAAGCGATATGTGGAGAGGAAAAGGGAGCTTTCAAATACATTTTGAAAGGGAGAAAGCCAGACTCTGCTGAAATTCAATATGAGATGGAGACTCGCTGAAGTAGGAAAACACTTAAGAGGAGTGTCAGAAGGAGGCATCCTTTGCTGTTCAGAGGGAGGAGATCAATGCTGAATAGCATGCCAAACAAACAGAAGGGAGATGCTTCTTAGGTCACGGTAAACTGGAATAGGACTTTGCAGACAGAAAGACTATGAAAAAAATTGAATAAATAAATGGAACAGAAATGTTGTGAGAACACAAACCATCCATTTTACATCTTTCTTTTTCCAATTAGAAACTCTAAGGAGAAAAAAAAAGAAACTCTAGGAATTTGCTTTTCTCACAGTTAGCTTTTGAATCAAACGCACCTTAGTATGAATGAGCTTATTGTATTTATACCATTTTCTTTGCTGATTTGGCTGATGTGGAGGACACAGAGACTGCATGCTATAAAGGTAGAGAGAAGGATGCAAAGAACAGTGATCTTGAGCCCCCAGGATAGTGAACAGAAAGTACAGCCTGAATAGGGCTCCTAATGCCGGCATCCGAACTTGGCTATTTGCATAGGTGGAGACCAAGATGGAGAAAAGACATCAATATAAAGGTTTTGGGAGGGACGGCCTAGAAATTAATGTGCTGGAGCTGTTCTTGTTTCCTGGCATCATAAGAAGACAAAACTTACAGTCTGTTTGAGTTGGAATGGCAGTGTCGGGAATTTTTTTTTTTTTTCAAGTTTCAGAAAAAGTTAAGGGAAATAATTAACTTCCAGGGTGTCATGGCTGGAGAAAAAAAATAGATAGGGTGGATGGAGAAGAGGGGTTGCTAATTTGCATAAAGTGCGATGGGAAGGCCTCTGGTAGGGGGCATTTGAGCAAGACCTGAAGGCAGTGAAGGGGTGGGGCATGTGGCCATCGAAACAAGTGCCTTTGGGCACAGGGGTGCAAAATGTGTTTGGGGAACAGTAAAGAGGTGTGAGTGGCTGGAGCCAGGTGAACAAGGAGAAAAGAGGTAAGTTTTGGATGTAAAGCTAAGAAGTTTGATCTTATGGAGGTGAAGAGAAGTAAGCAAGACCTCTATAGGTTAGATTGTGCAAAATAAAAGTTTTGGTGTGAAGTTAATTTTATTATTCCGTGATGTGGCTGTATGAAGTTGGACCTGTTTTGCTTACTTAATTGATGTGTGGAGCTTGGAGTGTGAACACAACTTGGGCAACTGCTCAGGACAGTGAAATGGTCTTTCACACGTGCACAAATGTTGGGGACGATGCATGTGAAGATTCAGGCAGAAGGAATCCATTGCATTTTTTTAAAAAGTAAGAAATTACAAACAATCCCTATGTCCTCATAATAAAGAAATAAGAAAATTGAGCAGTACAATGGAATGTTTAAACAGCTTGTAAAATGATATTTTGAAGAATTGATACAGTATTCATTGCAAAAAACTATATGTAATGAGCATACATTACTTCTTTTCATAATAAAAATAGTTTTGATTATCTTTTTCTTACTATTACAGTATAGCATGCTCATTGAAAAAACTTTGCTAATAAATGAGTGTATGAATAAAGTGAAAAATCACTCATTATCTCACCAGCAGAGATAACCACTGTTACTTTTCTTGTATATGTTTCCAGATGTTTCTGTATTAGTATGTAGATACTATATTATTATATATTAATATGCAGATTTGATAAAATTGGGATCATTTTATCTGCATTCTTTTTTTTTTGAGGTAATTATATGTTCATATGCAGCTGTAAGAAATAATACAGAGACCCCACATTTCCTTTTCCCAGTTTCACCTAACAATAATATTTGGCAAAACTATAGAACAATATCACAACCAGGATATTGACTCTGATACAGAATATTTCTTCCATCACGACAAGGATCCCTCTTGTTGCTCTTGGGTAGCTACACTGACTTTCCTCCTACCCTTTCTACCCCCTTAACCCATGGCAATTATTAATCTGTTCTCTATTTGTATAGGTTTTGTCCCTTCAAAAACATTACATAAATGAATCATACAGTATATAACCATTTGGAAATATCTCTTTTCACTTGCCATAATTCTCTGGAGATTCATTCAGGTTGCTGTACATCAGTAGTTCATTACTTTTTATTGCTGTAGAGTATTCCACCATAGGAGTGTATGTCAGTATGTTTACCATTCACCCATTGAAGGACATCTGGGTCGTTTGCAGTGTGGGACTATTATCAATTAAACTACATCTGCAAACATTCATGAATAGGTTTTTATGTGAACCTACGTCTTCATTTCTCTGGAACAAATGCCGATGAGTACGGTCACTCGGTTGTTGGGTAGTTGCATGTTTAGTTTTTTAAGAAACTACCAAGCTGTTTTTCAGAGCAGCTATACCATTTTACGTTCTTGCTAGCAATGTATAAGTGATCCAGCTTCTCCACATCCTTGTCAGAATTTGGTATTGTCACTGGTTTTTATTTTAACCATTCTAATAGGCAGGAAGTGATATCTCACTTTTTGCATTTCCCTAATAGCTAATTTTTTAGTTTTTGTGTAAGGTGTAAGACTTAGGTCGGCGGGTTTTTGTTTTGTTTTGTTTTGGTTTTTTTTTTTTTTGTTTTTGTCGTTTTTGTTTTGTTTTGTTTTGTTTTTTTGGCTTATTAATGTCCAGTTACCCCATCACCACTTGTTGAAGAGACCATCTTTCTTAAATTGAATTGCTTTTACGCCTTTGTGTGGATGTATTTCCAGGTTATCTGTTCTTCTCCATTGAACAGATTCTGTTGGTATCCACCAGGCTTGATTACTGTAGCTATATATAATCTACTTTGTACAGGATTCATTTGCATGTCAATAATATGAATCTACATCTTTAGTTTCATTAGCTATGTATACTATAAAATTCATTTAACTAATTCTTGGTTGTATATTTAGGGTTTTTCTCCCTGTTCTAAATAACAATAGAAAGGGGGCGCCTGGGTGGCGCAGTCGGTTAAGCGTCCGACTTCAGCCAGGTCACGATCTCGCGGTCCGTGAGTTCGAGCCCCGCGTCGGGCTCTGGGCTGATGGCTCGGAGCCTGGAGCCTGTTTCCGATTCTGTGTCTCCCTCTCTCTCTGCCTCTCCCCCGTTCATGCTCTGTCTCTCTCTGTCCCAAAAATAAATAAACGTTGAAAAAAAAAATTAAAAAAATAAATAAATAAATAACAATAGAAGGACCTAAGGATATATTCTTAGACTTGTATCATTTTTCCCTTTTCTAATTATTTTCTCATAATAAATTACTAAAAATGGAATAGCTAGGCTGATAGCTAGGTGTAGACAGTGTTAAAGTTTGGTTTTTCACATTCAGGACTTTAAGTCCTCTGGAATTTTTTTTGTATATGATGTCTGGTAGAAATCAAGTTTTCTGTTTTCTTTATGCTAAGTCAGTCACCCCAGTAGCATCCATTGGGTATGATGCCAACTCCATCATATATGAAATTCATATATATTGTTTCAGTTATCAAAGCTTTATAATAAGACTTTTTCCAGGGTGGGGATAAGGCAAATCTCTTCTTACCTTTCTTGTTCTCATAGTTTTATTTGGCCAGGTTCCGTGAAATCTGATACAGGAATATTTTAAAGTATATCACATTTATAGATCATTAGATACATTTGACACTTTGGAAAGAAGCGTTTCCATTCAAGAACTTAGGATATCTTTTTTCATTTTTTCAAATTTTCAATCCTGCTAAAGAAAATTTCTCCATAAAGGCCGGCCGTGCACATTTTGTTTGTATTTTTAGTTACCTTGTGATTTTGGTTACTATTGTAAACGGTTTCTCTCTGTATCTCTCTTTGAATTCTCTTCTATGATGGTTTCTCAAGTCTTTATCTTTCATGACACTTGTGTTTTAAAAGCTGTACTTTTTAGAGAAGTTTTGGGTTCACAGAAAAATTGAGCAGAAAGGACACAGAGCTATATGGGAGCTCTACCCCTACTGATACACAGCCTCCCCTACTATCAGTAGCTCAGAGTGGTGCATTTGTTACAATCGGTGAACCTACACTGATACATTATTACTACCCAAAGTCTCTAGTTTGCATTAGGGTTCAGTCTCTATTGTACATTTTATGGGTTTGGGCAAAGGTATAATGATACATATCTACCATTACAGTACCATACAAAATAGTTTCACTACCCTAAGAATCCTCTGTGTTTCACCTATTTCTTTCTTTCTCCTAAACCCTGGCCACTACTCCTCTTTTACTGTTTTCATAGTCTTGCCTTTGCCAGAATGTCATATAGTTGTATTCATACAGTATGCAGCCTTTTCAGATTGGCTCCTTTTGCGTAGTTAGTAATTCGCATTTAAGATTGATTCATGACTTCTCATGTCTTGATAGCTAATTTCTTTTTAGCACTCAGTAATATTCCATTGTCTGTGTCTTCCACAGTTTATTTATCCGTTCATCTACTGAAGGGCATCTTGGTTGCTTCCTAGTTTGGGCAATTATAAATAAAGCTGTTATAAACATCACTGAGCAGGTTTCTGTGTA